GGGGGGGGGGGGGGTGTGGACGGGGAGATGGTTCGAGTTGGACGTGTCCAGGCTGTTCTCGGATTGATCTTTGAGCTTCCTGAGTCAGTCAGTCTGGGCTGGCTGGCAGGGCGGGTCTGGGAGGAGCGAGAGGCTGTGGGAGGGAGGTGAGGCAACTACCGTGGGAGACTAAGATGACGCTGGAGAGCCGGAGGGCTGGGCCCCGGCAGCTGGGCGGCCCAGAAGCCCAACTGAGACTGTCTGATCGGGAGTGGAGCCGAGCAGGGAGGAGGCGAGAGTGGGGCAGGGCTGAGTCGAGAGTGGGTGGAGGTCACCCCGGCCAGAGAGCACCTCACCTAGGTGCTCCTCACCGCCAGCCTGTTCCCGCCTTTAATTTCACCCCCATCCACAGTCATAGGGGGCCGGGAGGGATGGGAGGCGCCGGCGCGCCTAGGTGAGGACGAGGTGCCGGTCGGCCAGGACCCCGTAGCGCTCCTTATGCTCTTCGAACAGCCGCGTGAGCCGCTCCACGTACCAAAAAAATAGTTGAATTTTTATTGTACCTGTAGATAAATTTGGGGAGAATTGCCATCTTAAGAACATTGAGTCTTCCAATCCATGAACCACAAAACTTTTTTCTTTTTTTTTTGGTTCGGGAACTGCTGGTAGAGTTCGTTCTCCCCAAAAGAGAAGACAGGCACCAGAGAGGCCCTGGGGGGGAGAGGCAGCCTGATTCCGGGCCTGGCGCCGCGCTCCCCGTGCACCGAGCAGCGGCAGCGGCGTGCTCCTGCGACCACCCCAGCATCCTCACCCGTGCTCCAGCGCCAGCTTGACAAATCCCTTCTGATTCCGGATCCGCAAGCTCAGCGCTCCGGGCTTTGCCTCCAGCGCCTCCAGGGGCCCTCCCACGGCCAGGACGGCCACCTGGCCGCCCCCAGGCCGGGACAACAGATAGGCGGCCTGGCCTTGGCTGCGGACACCAAACCTGGGGAGGAGGCAAAGGCTAGGGAGGGGGTGGCCCTGGCGCCTTGGTCCTCTAGAGGAGACAGGACAGGAGGGCACTGGGAAAGTAGAGCTGGGACCAGGAGCCCCCAGGCGGGAGGAGGGCAGGTAAGAGGTGACAGCAGGGAATTGGCTCCTGAGCTCAGGTTCCCCACTCCTCACCACTAAGCATGCTGTAGTCCCGGAAGACAGGAAAGCGAAACCAACAGGGCAGCATGAGCAGGTGCGGGCAGAGGCCAGGGAAGAGGCCGGAGAAGCCGGTGGCCTCTGTGCAGAAGTTGTTGAAGGCCCCGATGACCAGGACGCCATGAGGGTGGAAGCTGAAGAGATAGTTGTGGGAGGGATCGCGGTTTTAACCAGCTGGGGGGCAGAGGGTGCACAACCTGCCCTGGCGGTGAGATTGGATGTTTGGGGAAGATGACTCCAAGGGTCTATTTTGTATCTGTCCCCAACCCAGTAGGGGGGTCCTGGGGGCCCTCACCGTGATGGGGAAGTAGTCCTGGAAATGTCTCCAGATGGCCCAGTTTCGGACCCAGGCAGATCTGCGACCTCCTGTCTGTGGTGTCCCTGTCTCCACAGAGCCAGACCAGGTAGAGGATCCCTAGTATCCAGGCCCGGCTTAGGAGTGCAAGGATCAGCACAGCCAGGCACACCTGGGCTGGAGGATGGGGAAGGGAGGGGTCTCAGAACCTGGGCACTTAAGTTCCAGGTCTCCCCCTTGCCCACTCCCTTCCCTGTCCCAACTAATTCCTTCTCACTCCTTGAAGGACCCAGAAGATCCCTGCCCCACCTCCCCGCTGTGGTCAAGGGGCAGCAGAGCCTCAGGTGTGTGTGTGGAGGTTAGGTCCAGGGATTCAGGGACTCACACAGCCCCAAGAAGAGGAAGAGCCATTGTAGGACAGCGAACACCTAGAGACTCCGGCAGAAGAGGCTGGAAGAGGCTGGCATTCTGTAGAGGGGAGTCGCACAGGGGTCACACTGAGCTCTTAAGCATACCCCCTTTTGGCCCAACCCATTGGCCCTGACCCCGGTTCCACCCCATTTTCATTTCTTTTGGTGACTTGCACACTAGGCTCTGATGAGCTCAGGCAAGGAAGGGTTAACCCAGGTGGGCAAACTTTCTGACTCGAGGGCCACAATGGGTTCTTAAACTGGACCGGAGGGCCGGAACAAAAGCATGGATGGAGTGTTCGTGTGAACTAATACATGTTAACACTGCTTCTGGTGAAGGAGCGGAGGGGAGAGCAAGAGAACCCTCTGCTCTTTCAGCTCCACGGGCCGGATAGAACAGTTGAACGGGCCGGATCCGGCCCGCGGGCCATAGTTTGCCCACGGCTGGGTTAACCACTACTTGAGCTCATGGAAATGAGGGAGGGTGGTGGATGGGGGAGGAAGGTGTTTGGACTTTGTGTTTGTCAGGAGATTCCACCTCTGTGAAGAGCTAACAGAGGTGGGGTGGGATGTTGCCAGAGTGGTGTGTGCCACGAATGGCAGGGCTCCCAACATGAGTGAGAACAGCCTGAAAACCTTTAGGCAGCCTAGGACTCTGTGCAGAGATGCTGCAGAGGGAAGGGCTTTGTGGAAAAAGCTAATGATTGGAGAGCCCCTCAAGAGAGGGCCCACTGAACAGTGGGCACCCCTCCAAGTGGGTTGGGGCCAGTCCTCACTATCACCATGACCCTATCCAACCTGTGACCAGAGGCCTGTGGGAGCTGGCACCTTCTCCAGGTCAGGGAAGGTCACTTCTTTTATTTTTTTTATTCCAGGTATGCTAATGCCAACATCACTACTATATCTGAGTCTGGTTATGGTGCTTGTTCTGTCTCTTCAAACTATGCTTTTTGCTTTTTAGTATATCTTGCAATTTTTTGTTGAAAGCCAGGCATGATATCCTATCTAATAAAGACAGGATATGCAAATTGTCCGTCACTTCGCAACAAAGATGGTGGCACCCACAGCCAATAAGGAGGGAATATGCAAATTGACATTACAAAGATGGAGGCGGCGGCTCTGGCCCAGAGCAAAGGCGGGAGGTGGCTCAGGCCTGGAGTGAAGGCCTGGGTCCCAGGTGCTGGAGGGAGGTCGGTGCTGGCAGCCAGGGGAAGGAAGGCCTATTCTTGCACGAATCTTCATGCATCGGGCCTCTAGTACTAGATAAAAGGAACTATATAGTAAGTAGGCCTTTAGTGGTGTTGTGGTAAGGTGTGGGGAAGGGGAAACATCTACAGTCCTATGACCAAGGCTTGTCTTTTAGTGAGCCTGTATCCCTGAACTGTGAACTCCATGCATGCTTCTCTGAGGTAAATGTTTCCCTCTGCATCCCGTGTGGTTCAGGGTTCAGGATCTGGAAGAGAAGCCGCACACAAATGAAAGAGAAAAGACAAGAGATAATTTGGGAATATTGGGGGACCAGGCGGACAAGTCCAACTCAAGGAGAAGGACTTTCACTGGTGCTCAGGCTGTGCCAACCCTTTATTGGTTTGGGATACACCCATAGCCCTTAGGCAGGCAATTTCCAGTAACAGGCAGACTGGCCCATCAGCAAGGATTTACATAATAATAAATGGGGAAGTTGCTTCAGCTACCATTGTCTGGACTAACAATGGGTGCACAGCCCTGACCTTTGCAAGGGCTTCAAGGATCACCAGGCTTCCCGGGTTCCTTGTCCACACCTCTCTGCTAGTGAAGACAATAGGCGGTCTCCCACACTTCTCAGTCTGCTCCAGATGCAGCAGGGTGGCTAGAGGGGGCTGACTGTACATTTCTCTTTCTCCAGGTTTGATAAGGTCTGATAAAACTCCAATATGTTAGGCTCTGGTAAAATAGCTTCTCTGGAGGTCCGGCCTTGTTAAGGACAGAATACACTGGCATAGGGAATGTCACTTCTTTAGGAAAGTCTGACACCCATCCCACCAAGTGCCTCTGTCACATGCTTTTCTAGCATAACAGATTTCCCCTCCATTATGGTAATTTTCAGATTAAGGTCTCCCCTACACTGTAAGCAACAAGAGGCAGGTAATGTCCTCATCACTGCAGCCCTGGGAGATGCTTTGTAAATGAATGGGCCACTATAGGAGACAGCTTCCAATGCCCAGGTTGGCACACCCTTTCTGTCCCATTCTGGCGCAGGCTTCCTTGTCCAGGGACCCTACCAGGAGGCAGTTTCTGCTGTCCCTGCTCAGCATACTTCCACCACCAGGGTGAGAAATCTAGCCAGAGAAATGCTCAGTCCTCGTGGTAAGGCGATCCACCCACTCAGGTGACCTGCCCCACCCCCCAGGAAGGAAGGTTCCCATAGGGAAGTTTTCCCGGGAGTCAGGCAGGAATAAAGTGGACAGCAAGTGGGGTGTAGGAGGCAGGAAATTTCCTGGGACAGGTGAACAGGCCTGTTTGGTTTTTAAAAGGCTTCTTCTGCGCCAAAACCGGTTTGGCTCAGTGGATAGAGCGTCGGCCTACGGACTGAAGGGTCCCAGGTTCGATTCTGGTCAAGGACATGTACCTTGGTAAAGCAAGTGATCCTATAGACTGTGGTCTTAGCTGTTATCTCACTGATTATGGCAAGAATTGTTTTAGTAGAATTTATCAGTATTAGATTTCCATAATATATAACTCATTCTAAGTGTTCTATTCCTGAACTGCTGTTTTAGAACAATGCCTACCATGTGATAAGTGCTCAATAAAATATTCATCAAATGAATAATTTTATAGGTGAAATTTATTGAGCACCTACTATCAGTCAGGCACTGTTCTAGCCAAAACCATTTTGGCTCGGTGGATACAGCGTCAGCCTGCGGACTGAAGGTTCGATTCCGGTCAAGGGCATGTACCTGGGTTGCAGGCACATCCCCAGGAGGAGATGTGCAGGAGGCAGCTGATCAATGTTTCTCTCTCATCGATATTTCTAACTCTCTATCCCTCTCCTTTCCTCTCTGTAAAAAATCAATAAAAAAAATAAAAAATAAATAAAAGGCTTCTTCTGCAAGCGAACAATTGAAGATAAATTCAGGGAAGATAGGCTGATGCAAGGCTGGGAAAGACCCAGCTGAAGGGGCGTGGCTGGCTGGCCTCAGGGTCCCTGGGTGAAGGGGTCTTGGCCAGGGCCTGATGGCCCCGAGGCTGGAAGCAAGACCTGCTCTCAGGAGGTCTCTTTTCCAAGGCTGCTTCCTATTCCTCTTCCAGGAGGCTTTCCTCGGAATGACCACCAGGGCTTTTCCTTTCCTGATACCCCCCAACTAAAAGCTTAGGTCCCAGCAGCAGCAGTAGGGCCCCTGCCTGCCTTCCCTCATAGAACACATGCCCCAGGGAGCCTTCCTTCTCTGACCACCGTCCCTGGTGCCCAGCTCAGGGATATGCCACCGCCTTTCCTGTAAAGATGCCATCAAGTGATGACAGATGCTATCAGGGAGGAATGCGGGACAGTGCGGCGGGGGTGGCTTTCAACAGAACCTGACAGTGAAGTCCTTTTGGTTTGGCCCTTCTAAGGCACTTCCCAAGCTCAGGCAATGAAGGGCAGTGAGAACTGGGATCCAGGGAAGCTCCCAGGTTCCCACACATGCTGCTTCTGCCTTTTCCTCTTCTCTGTTCTCTTTCTTTGGAGTAACTCTGGTCTCTCTCTACTCTGGGTGGCAGGAGGGGTGCAAGGTCAATAGGTAGATGGAAGATAATAAATGGACTCGAAAGTTACAAATCCTCCTTTATTGGGAGTGAGGCTAAGAAACAATAAGTTATCACATGGGGAACCCCAGAAGCTCTCTCCCATGAACTCTTGGGGGCTGAAGGGAGGGACAAGGGGGCTCCAGGAGCTTCTTGAGAGGGCTGTGTGTTGGGGGTTGGGAAGCGAGGTGAGACATCCAGTCCCAGACACACCGAACATACACTCAGTAGATGAAGAGCCAGAGAGACCCTCTCCCAGGAATGGGGCATAAGAAGGCACAACGGCAGGAGAGGTTTGGCAGAGTGGTTGAGTGTCAGGGGTCGACAAAGGACACCATGATGTAGCGAGTGCCCTTCGTGGTAGGCAGCCCCTCGTGGTAGTGGGTGAGACGGCCAGGGTGCAGAAGCCCCCAGCCCTTCCGTGGGGCTGAGATCACACAGTCGTAGCGTAAGAAGCGGCAGCCACCTCCCTGGGAAGGGGACAGAAGGGGAGAGTGAGTAGACATGGTGCTGGGGGCAGACAGATACAAGGACAGATACAAGAGGCAGACTAAAGCTATAAGGGAGGGGGCTTTTAGGGAATTGGGGGCGTCAGCAGATGGGGAGACACAGGAGGAAGCGGGCAGGAGCCAGCCTGGAAGTGACCCAGGAGAGGATAGCAGCAAAATAACTGGGAAATGTGCAGGGGGCAGGCTGTGTGCAGGGGAGTAAGAGAGAGGACACAAGGTTCTAGTAGGGGTGTGTGTGTGTGTGTGTGTGTGTGTGTGTGTGTGTGTGGAGACACCCTGGTGGTGCCCTGAAGTGGGAAGACACTAGGGGTCACCTCATA